TATAACCGTTGCGCCCACTCTGGCCTCGCAGGGCGGGCCCTAGTGGGTGCGAGTTGGAGCTGCCATAGCTTATGGCTAGAGCAATGGGAGGGGCCCCCACTACAACAGAGAGAACAGTCAGGATAACGAACACTCCACTGGGCTGATTCATCAGATATTCTCGATCAACTTGGGTGGATATGCTGACTGACTTCTTGTTAAGAATGAGCTTTTCAGTCTTATAGCGCATTCATGAGCTTATTCATTCACTGAATAGTCTCCCTCTAGTATTCCTTGCTTCGGATATCCCTAAGACCATTGGCACCCGGCCTCCTAAGCCCATACGCTATTCCGTGTATGAGTAAACGCTTGCGCATGTAGAGTATTGTTTACGATGAAAATCTGACAGATCTTTCGATGAAGATCTCCCGAATTTTAACACCTTAAACTAATAAAATAGATGTAAATAAAGTGGTAGAGAAAGTGGGACTAATCGAATTCAGATCTGAGGCAAGATTTGCCCGAAAACGAGCAGATCTACTCTCAGATCTGTGGTAGAGCCAGCATGATCCAAAGCATTAAAATACGATTTTAAGACAAAGTTAACAGATCAAAATAAATAAAAATAGAACTAAAACAATAAAAGAATGAAAATGAGAGAGGAAGAGACAATACCAAAGAGAGCCGAATGCCCCGGGGTTCCCGAGCCTTCGAGTACTCGCCAGTATCAGAACCGGTCCTCTTTACCTCTCTGATTCGAATGTTGACCAGCAGATCTCTGGGTTAGAAGGGTTAGATCTAGGGTTGTGTTGCTCTAAGTCTAGTTTTGATCTAAGGTTATTGTGCCCTGGTCTAGGTTTTCTTAAGCTTGGGGATTAGGGTCTCTGGACGTTAGGGTTTCTGTTTTTTTGAAGCTCTAAAGTTTCAATCTCTATATGTTTCTCTCTGGTCTGGAGGGGAATTTCCTTAGTTTTCTAAGGGTTTTATGATCTCCAGAGGTTGCATATGAATTCTGAGATCTTATCTAAATTTTTGGGATTTTTCTTAAATTTTTAGAAATTTTATAAGGTTTTTTCCTATTTTTGGTATTTTTCGGTAATTTTCCTAATTTCGAGAGTTGCTAAGTTTTTTTTGTCTCTTTTTCTCTCTCTTTGTGAGTTAGAGAGAGGGGGTATTTATAAGATTCAATTGGTGATTTTTTTTAAATTTTTGGAGTTTTTTCATAATTTTTTATATTTATCTTAAAGTTTTAGCCTTATTTAATTAAAGAAAACGTGTTTACTGTGTCATCAGATACGTTGACTGTATCAATAGCCCACGTCTGGGCCTGTTGGGTCTATTACAGCCCAGCCCACAGCCCGACAGTTGGGTCTCACAGGGACTAAATTATCATTTGTTATATCTTTTTATCCGTAGGTCTGATTCAGACGATTTTGTGACCGTTGGAAAGCTCTTGGGCTTTATTTCAAATTGGGATAAGATTTGAGTAGTTTTGGGTGATTAAATTGGGTCTACTAGGATAATGTGGTCTTAATGGGTAGTTTTTAGGTAATTAAATTGGATCTACTAGGATAATGTGGCCCTAATGGATAGTTTTTGGATAATTAAATTGAGTCTAGTAGGATAATGTGGTCTTGAAGGTTAAGATAACTATAGAATTTGCCAATTGAGTCTAGTAGGATAATGTGGTCCTGAAGGTTAAGATAACCATAGAATTTGCCAATATCTACCTATTACGTTTCCCACTTTTTGATCGGACGCTGCATCTATTGATGCATTCTTTGGTTGGTGTCTTGGATTATTTCCACATTTCCAACTGCTTTTAACTGAGATTCTTCTTAACACTGGTTCATGCCTGACTACGGAAGTTATAAGCACTGCCTCCTCACCACGCCACCATTGCTTCACATTTTGAAGTCATGCACAGTTCCAAAAGTGAGAGAATTTCATTTTACTTTCCTCGGTAGTCTTCAACTTTTCCAGGAATAAAACATAGAAGGGTTGATACGGTGCTGGACCATACACACTCTCTATAACCCGATCATAATCCAAATAAATTTGTGTTAATAAGAAAAAAGTTTATATAAAGCCAAGGCTATAAACAATCAAATTAAAGTTTACCTCAAAAATTTTACTAGAAGAAGTTGTTTTGATGCTCAAATATCCTCAAATTGATCATCTAACATCAAGATGCATGGACAAGAGAAAAACATAGATATTAAGTTTTGAAAATAGTGCATCCCGTAATGCATTTTTGGACGGTCAATTTTCAAATTTTCAAATTTTCAAATTTTCATAGATATGCTAAATCTATCACAAAAATGTCCTGTATTAAAACCACATTTCTCAAAGTAAATTTTCATAGATCTGCTAAATCTATCACAAAAATGTCCAGTATTAAAACCACATTTCTCGAAGTTTTACTTCGATTGTTTAGAGCCTAGGCTCTATACAAACGGCACCCATAATAAGAATAAAATGAAAACGAATTTTGCTTTGAATTCAAGTTATGCACATTTGAGCTTTTCCCATGTCGGCATGGAAAGGTAGCCCGGCAAGAAACGAACATTTACTCACCTTTCCCGCTCTCCCCCTCTCTCTCTCCTCCAACTATAAGAAACTAACGCCTCAAATCCACTTTGTAGAAACCAAGAGGCCTACATACTCAGTTTTAGAGAGAGAGAGAGAGAGAGAGAGAGAGATGGCTAAGCCTGTAGCAGCAGGCCTTCTCGTCTTTAATTTTTGCATGTATTTTATTCTCGCATCTCTAGGCGGATGGGCAATCAATTATGCTATCGACCATGGCTTCGTCATCGGTATTTTTTCTTTTCATTTTGATCTCTCTCTATTCTATGCTTTCTATTTCCCTCTTTTTTTGCTCTCTTTCTCTCTCTAACAGTGAATGTGCTTTGATTCTCGACGGCAGGCGCTGGTCTGGCTCTTCCCGCGGCTTTCTCCCCGATTTACTTTCCGATGGGGAACGCGGCCACCGGTTTCTTCGTGATATTTGCTGTACTTGCAGGAGTTGTGGGCGCTGCTTCGGCCGTTGCAGGGACCCGCCATATCATGGCATGGAAAGGCGAAACCATCAGCTCTGCTCTTGTTCCTGCCGTCACTGCGTGGGCTCTCACTCTTATTTCCATGGGGTAATAACCCATCTCTCTCCCCCTCTCTCTTTCTCTCTCTAAAGATATGAATCTGTAATAAGATTAGCCCTATTTTTGCAGCCTGGCGTGTAAGGAGATCAATCTGACGCCAAGGAACGCTAACCTGGTAAGCCTCAAATACTGTGGCAGGGTCGACCCATTACAGCCTGAGGGTAGGGCCAGGCCACTAGAAACAAGGGTAGGGGCAGCCCAGGCCAATGCGAGGGCTGCCCTCAATCTTCCCATCCTGGCCATTATTTCCTTATCATTTATGTGTTAGATTTTTTTAATTTTTTGAAAAAGCAAAATAAGATTAAAATGATATGGTTGGAAACAGGGAAAATAAAAATAAAAATAAAAAATATAAAGACTTATAACATTAAAAAAAGTTCGACCCTTAATAAAACACATCAGCTAAATATAATTTGGAATGGGGTTGGTTTTGTGGTGGTAGCACCCCATACCCCAGTCACTTCATTATGGTTTCTATTCTCATTAACATCATTTTAATAATACTTTCAAAAATTTAACTCTTAAAGTAGTTGAAAAAATGGGTAGGGTTAGCCGACCCCAATTAATTAAAAACTGATAAAAAAAAAAAAAAACTGTTACGATGATGATGACTTTTTAAAAAGAATTGAGCCGTGCTAGACCCAGGGTTGGCCGGGCCAACCATATTATTGGTTTTTGCAGAAAGAAGTTGGTTTTTAATTTTGTTTTTTGAAATGAAAATTGCAGAGGACCATGGAAGCATTTACAATCATTCTTTCGGTGACTCAAGTCATCTACATAGCTGTAATTCACACCGCTGTTGGAAGGCCCAGAACCTGATCTGATTAGATGTGGTTTTCACCACCACCACCTATTCTTTTACTTTTACCTTGATTTTCGCTTCTTTTGTTGTGGAATTAAAATGGTGCAATGTACTTTTGTTTGGTATGGTGTTAAGAATTGTTTGTAAGAGTGAATACTGGGGTCGTGATTTATTTATTTATTTATTTATTATATTGAGATTGACTTGTGCTTGTGTTTTGTAAATCCTTATTCTTTATATGGGGACTTCCAAAAACAAATTTATTGATATCCCGTTGAAATAAAAGCGAACCAGCACTTTATATACTCTTTCTTTCGCAAATTTCTTTTTCTTCATTTGTCACTGTCCGTTTTCATTTTTGTTTTTGTTTTTGTTTTTGTTTTGTTTTTTTTTTTTTCATCTTAGTTGAAGGACATTACGTAAAAAAGAATGTATACAATGAAACCATTTACTTTCGATACAAATAGGTTATAGTTACTTGCAACCATCTGATATGAAATTTGATAGCTTAGGTGTGTTACAAAAGTAGAAATTTTTTTTAAAAAATTTGAGCTTGGCCAATAGAATAAATGCAACTATCTAATTTCACATCTAATGGTCCAGATTAATTGTGACCACCTTGTATCAAAGATAAATGATCTAATTGTATATTTTCTTATATAAAATAAAGTCGCTTCTAAGAGTGTGACGCAAAGCATACAGATATAAAAATACGCTAAAAGATGTTCTATTTCTTAGGAAGTATGTTGTATATTTACTGCCTTAGGTGTTAGGATCCCAAATTTTGGGATATGATATCTTTAACACATAGGTTAATCTTATTTTTAGCACCTAGATTAATTAATTTCAATAGAAAAATTTACTAATTACACTTTATAACCACTTGAAAAAAATAATGTCTCAAGATTGAATAGAAACTATCCAATTGATTTAAGCATTAGAAAACATAAATTTCAATTGTTTTCTTTTGAGTATAATGATTTATTGATTTTTAAGTGATTTCCAAACTTTTAGATTGAAAAAATCCTCCGAGAGTAGGTCTTTTGATGGAGTAAGAGTAATCTTTGTGCTTGAGGGAGCATAATATACATATTCAACGGACAGTTTTAACTAGAGGAATCGAACTTTAGTTACTACTGTCAACCGCTAAATGTTCATTTCGTATGCCAAAAATAATTTTCGAGAGAATCTTCAAGAGAATTAAAATGAGTAATGGATGAAACATTTACTTTGACAATGGATATAAGGAGGAAACAAAACCTATTCGCATCCATTGCTGCATCCGAATCGACTTGGCCATGGTACTCGGCTTTTGTTTGAGCGGAGTCACAGGGCCAAAAAGAGGTTAAATAAATTGAGAAAAAATAAAAAAAATTCAAAAAATAAGAAAAATATATTAAAAGTAAAATAAAACAAAAAATAACCCTAAGGAGCCCAAATAAGCCTAAGAAGTATTAGAAAAATGGATTTAAAAAAAACAAATTTTCAATTGGAGGCTTCTTAAAAATCCAAAAAAAAAAGAGTAAAATATAAAAATAGGGGTTTATGGCAAAAAAACACTCGTAGATCTTTGTATAAGACCTATAAATCAAACAATAAAAATTGATAGATCAATCACATATTTTTTATTTTATAGATATTTAAACAAATTTATATTGCCAAGTTTTGACTTACTCAACCGAGTCCCGATATGTTTACACCATCTGACAAGCTTCATTTTTATTTTTTTAAAAAATGGAAAATTGTTTTATACAGGCTGGACCACATTTGTATGACAAGTTTCATTTTTATTTTTTTAAAAAATGAAAATTTGTTTTATATTGGCTGGATCACATTTGTACAATTAAAAATGTGGTCCAGATGTATAAAACATCCTTAAATAATCGCAAAAAACCCTAAGGAGCCCAAATAAGCCTAAGCAGTATCAGAAAAATGGATTTAAAAAAAAAAATTTCAATTGGAGGCTTCTTAAAAATTAAAAAAAAAGGAATAAAATATAAAAATAGGGGTTTATGACAAAAAAACACTCGTAGATCTTTGTATAAGACATATAAATCAAACAATAAAAATTGATAGATCAATCACATATTTTTTATTTTATAGATATTTAAACAAATTTATATTGCCAAGTTTTGACTTACTCAACCGAGTCCCGATATGTTTACACCATCTGACAAGCTTCATTTTTATTTTTTTAAAAAATGAAATATTGTTTTATACAGGCTGGACCACATTTGTATGACAAGTTTCATTTTTATTTTTTTAAAAAATAAAAATTTGTTTTATACAGGCCGGACCACATTTGTACAATTAAAAATGTGGTCCGGAGGTATAAAACATTATAAAACATCCTTAAATAATATAATTGCAACTAACAGTCTGGATGTTTTTTTTAATATAATTATTATTTTTAAAATTCTTTTATTCTCATGTTGAAGATTATATATTGTCTGCGAGAATTATATTCAAGGCTAGACGCAGAGAAACCGACATGCCCTTGAAACCTGTGTGGTCATCATTACAAGCCCAATATTGGGAACAACCTGCTGAGGGGCCATGACCCTTTTACACAACCTTCTTACGAGCTGTGGGTTCGATGTTGGATGATTCCGGCCGTCCCGCTTGGCTCCTCTCTCTCTCACTGTAAACAAATTTGTCACAGGCTTAACGTGCAACTTTTATTATTTTCATTATCATTTTCGTCCGTTCTTATGTCCTACAAAAGTAGCCATTTTGATTTACTTTGAACTCCCCATGATTAATACAACAATAATTGTTGTTTTGTATAGAGAGAAAGAAAAAAATTTAAATTCCACTAAATGGAAGCTTCTTTCTATAAACGTGTTCTATATAGGCTACTTTGATATAAAAATAGAAAAATAAATTGAGTCAAAGAATTTCATTTTATTGTTATAAGTTACATTTTTAAACTTCATTTTGGTATAAATTGAATTTTATAGACAACAATCACTCGACATAAGACAGGTTCTCATAATTTATATATTTTGATATAATCATGAAAAGCTTTAATGCATTTGCCACTATTTTTTATTAGAAACCTAAAAAAGTAGTTTTTTGAGAAATTATAGAGATTTTTTTAAAATGTTTTTGAGGTTGAGATTTGTCGCTTTGCCGATTCTCTGATCTAGATCTCCGATCTACTAATCTAACATAGTTTTTGGAGTGGCCAATTCGAGTCACCGATTCATTCTTTTAAACCTTGCTAAAAACTGAGATGTATCTTATGTTTTCTCTAAAAATAAAGGAAAAGCTTTTTATGTGACCCCACCCACATATAAATTAGTTGTGACCCCATCTCTTAGACGGTTGATCTGAATGAATGACTACGAATGCTCATGTCACATTTTCATGCCAAAATACTTTTTAGTTTTTAAATTTTTTCTACAAAATAATTTTTAGTGAAATTTAAGGTGTTCCATCTTCTTTTTGGGGCGCCCCTAGCAAATATTTAAAACAAATATTTATTATAAAAATAAATACTTTTTACAATCTAGATTTTTGAGCTTTAGCTTGACTCTAGCGCTCGAGCTAGACCCTAATACTGACCCTGAACCTTCCTGACCTAATAGATCTGGACCTTGACCTCAGTATAGTCGAACATGCATCCTAGAGCCACATTCGACCTCAATCACCTTACCAGGGGTACACCGAAAGATTGGAGAAAGTCGGCACATCAATACTGATTCCTGAGCTAGCACTGGCTCCAGGTATCAGGCCTGGGGCCCCGACTTGAGGAACGCCTCATTCTCTTTTCTTTCAGTTCATTTTTCCATCTATTTTTAAAACACTTCCATAATCTCCCCTGCTTTTCTCAAAAAAAGTCCCCTTTCAAAAAAATTTGGCAAGTCTACAGTTCTACCGTTTCAAAACCAGGCACTGTCAGTGATCCGTTCGGGGGCGGTCCTACGGCCAGTCTCCCGCCCACATCATAATTCATTGGGGCCCTTTCTCTATCACTTTCTCAACGAGTTTAGGCCGAATGACAAAGACGAGGTTAGCACCGCCAAAACTTTCACGAATAAACACTGATACCATCATGGCGTCTTAAGTTTATCACAAAACTCTGTATATGATCGTTATGAATGAAATATACACCCTCTATGTATCTAAGAGATGGTAGGAATAGAAGGAAATCATGTACATTTAATACACACAATCAGGAAAGGTCAATTTATATTTTGTAAATTATTTTTTTTATATTTTTTTATTACGTGTGTCTCATTATGAAGTACACACACTTTAAATTTCAGATTATTTCGATTAATAAAAATTGAAACACTACCGGACAAGTGTGATTGTATAATGAAGTTTGGATGATAATGAGGGTAAGCGAAATCACCATTCATTTTCGCCTATAGGCATTTTGTAATATCTTCATATATATATATATATATATAGAAAAGATGATATTAGCTTATTAGCTTATATGAACATATGAGCCCAACGTCCCAGATTGAATCTGAGTCGATATGACGATCACGGATGTTCGGTAGTGCTTAAATTTTATTTTACTTTCTAAAAATCTAAATCACTTGAAATTTTAGGCGTGTGTTTATAAAAAATATGTGAATCTTCGAAAAATATCAAAAAAATATTTTATGTGAAATAAATTAACTAAAATACCCCCTAAAAGTTTCGAGGGGTATTTTGATTTCGTGAATAATTTTTTTTACATTTTTATTACGTACGTCTTGATGAGAAGAATACTTAAAATTTCAAGTGATTTAGATTTATAGAAAAATAAATAAAATTCAAATACTATCGGACATCCATGATAGTCAGATCGGTCAAGATTCAATCGAGACCGTTGGGCCCATATGTTCATATGAGCTAGTG